CCATAGCCCATCACTAGATGTTGAGGTGTCATTCACCCGCCGTTGGGTCAGCAGAAGCTATATACGGCGCCCTGGACAAAAAATACCATGAACCGAATATTAAACCAACAATACAAAAACCGAAACAAAAATACCGAAACTGAAGTTTTCGATTCTTCGTTCGTTCCTAGTTCCCAGGAACCCAAATTTTATAGACAAATTCTAGTTTTTAGCTCGGTATAAACCGAAATTCCCAAATTGAACGACTACATGTATGAGGGCCCAGTAAATAATACAGCCCACCAGCCCACATGAGTCATCCATACTCACAGAACCATAGCCAGCCCACCCCATCCATCCCCAGGCGCAGCCGCGCAGTCACCCCCGCGCCGTCGCCCACTCGCCCTCACGCCGCCGGCCCCTCCCGGTCGACCCTCGGCCACCGTGCCGCGCCACCTGCCACTGCCACCGCCAGGCACCCTTCCTTCCCCGCCAGGCCGCCACCGCCAGCAGGCGAGCCGCACCCCGCCGACGCTCCATACCCCCGGCGGCGCCGGCGATCCCTGTGGCTGTGGCCTGAGCGCGTCCACGGTCCGAGGACCGAGCCTCTGGGTGACCGACTATCGGAGTCTCGGACGGTCCACGGGCGGACCGCGGACGGCCGCTACGCGCTTCTCGCTAGGCGGCGGCGCGGCGAGAACGCGACGGCGAGTCGGTGACACCGCGACAGCACGTCAAGCGAGAGGGTCGCGGCCGCACCTTCTGCTGTGCTATTATTCTGCAGCCAGCAGGCGGCAGCGCCCCCACTTCCCCCCGGCCACCGCGCTCTCCGCCCCGACCTTGGCATCCTCGTCGCAGGCAGGAACCGGTAGGTGTCCGGGAGAGAGCAGCCTTTTCTGCTCAGGCTGAATCGACGCCACTCCTTACTTAGAGGTGCTGGCCCATTTTTATTTGATTTGCCAGGCAGAAAGGCGAGTCCTTTGCAGAGGCCAGTCTGAGTTCGACGCCCGCGAGGCCAGGCATACTGCTGCATACATCACAACTCAAGGTGAGAACAGAATACAGAATAATACTTATCTACTTGTTCAATTTCGATTTTCAAATATTCGGTGAATATCAATGTTAGTAGTTCCTAACAAGAAATAATCGCATTGCAATTTGCAATATAGGAGGCTAGAATGGAAAGATAGAAAGATGTGTCGGAGAGTAGTGCTGGAACACAAGAGAGCCGGACATTCATTAACACATGACCGCCACCGGCCACGTCACACGCTCCCTGAGCACGGCATGCCCCGGCCGCCCACGCCCGCTCAGGCGGGGTTCCTTGCCACCGCCACCTTCTCCCACCTCTACCAGCTATGCGCGGCGCCGGCGCGCCGGCCTCGCCACGGGCCAGGCTGCGCGACGCGCAGATGCTCGTGTCCGGGTTTGTGCCCACCACGTTCGTCTCCAACTGCCTCCTCCAGATGTATGCTCGGTGCGGGGCGCCGCCCATGCACGCTGGGTGTTCGACGCGATGCCCCACCGAACACGGTCTCGTGGAACACCATGCTCACGGCGTTCGCTCACGCTGGTGACACCGGCACGGCCGCGTCCCTCTTTGGTCGCGATGCCGGATCCGGATGTTGTGTCCTGAACGCGCTGCTCTCGGGCTACTGCCAGCGTGGCATGTTCTGGGACTCGGTGGGCCTGTCTATTGAGATGGCTCGCCGTGGTGTCGCCCGACAGGACGACGCTTCGCTGTCCTGCTCAAGGCATGCGGTGGCTTGGATGACCTGGCGCTTGGTGTTCAGATCCATGCGGTTGGCGGTGAAGACGGGCCTGGAGATGGATGTCCGAGCAGGGGCGCGCTCTCGTCGACATGTATGGCAAGTGCAGGAGTTTGGAAGACGCGCTTCACTTCTTCCATGGAATGGGTGAGAGGAATTCGGTCTCGTGGGGTGCGGCGATCGCTGGATGTGTTCAGAATGAGCAGTACATGCGGGGGCTGGAACTGTTCGTGCAGATGCAGAGGTTGGGACTTGGGGTCAGCCAGCCAGCTTATGCCAGTGTCTTTAGATCCTGTGCAGCGATCACATGTCTGAGCACTGCTAGGCAGTTACACGCACATGCCATAAAGAATGAGTTTAGTTCTGACCGTGTTGTTGGGACAGCAATCGTGGACGTGTATGCGAAGGCTGATAGCTTGGTTGATGCTAGAAGGGCATTCTTTGGTTTGCCTAGCCATACTGTGGAGACATGCAATGCCATGATGGTGGGGCTTGTGCGCACAGGGCTAGGAGCTGAGGCCATGCAACTGTTTCAATTCATGACCAGGTCTGGTATTGGTTTTGATGTAGTTAGTTTGTCAGGTGTTTTCAGTGCTTGTGCTGAGGTTAAGGGGTACTTTCAAGGGTTGCAAGTCCACTGCTTAGCGATTAAATCAGGTTTTGATGTGGATGTTTGTATCAGAAATGCAATTCTGGATCTATATGGGAAGTGCAAAGCATTAGTAGAAGCATACCTTGTATTCCAGGAGATGGAGCAAAGAGATTCGGTGTCTTGGAATGCTATTATTGCAGCTCTCGAGCAAAATGAGTGTTATGAGGATACTATAGCTCATCTAAATGAAATGCTGCGCTCTGGTATGGAACCTGATGATTTCACGTACGGTAGTGTTCTTAAGGCTTGTGCAGGTCTACAATCTTTGGAATATGGGTCGGTGGTTCATGGCAAAGCTATCAAGTCTGGACTTGGTTTAGATGCTTTTGTTTCAAGCACTGTTGTTGACATGTACTGCAAATGTGGCATGATCACAGAGGCTCAGAAACTTCATGACAGAATTGGGGGGCAAGAACTTGTTTCATGGAACTCTATCATATCAGGATTTTCACTCAACAAACAGAGTGAAGAAGCACAAAAGTTCTTCTTGGAGATGCTAGATATGGGTGTAAAGCCTGATCATTTTACTTATGCTACTGTTCTTGATACTTGTGCTAATCTGGCTACCATTGAGTTAGGGAAACAGATCCATGGTCAGATTATCAAACAGGAAATGCTTGGAGACGAATATATCTCTAGCACTCTTGTAGACATGTATGTCAAGTGTGGGAACATGCCAGACTCACTGCTAATGTTCGAGAAGGCGCAGAAACTGGATTTTGTATCATGGAACGCTATGATATGTGGCTATGGGCTCCATGGCCTGGGATTTGAAGCCCTAGAGATGTTTGAGAGGATGCAGAAAGCAAATGTTGTGCCAAACCATGCAACTTTTGTTGCAGTTCTGCGGGCGTGCAGCCATGTTGGTCTGCTAGATGATGGATGCCGGTATTTCCATCTGATGACTAGCCGCTACAAATTGGAACCTCAACTGGAACACTTCGCTTGCATGGTGGATATACTAGGACGCTCAAAGGGCCCACAGGAAGCCCTAAAATTTATCAGAAGCATGCCTCTTGAAGCAGATGCTGTCATATGGAAGACTCTGCTAAGCATTTGCAAGATCCGTCAAGATGTTGAAGTGGCTGAAACTGCTGCTAGCAATGTTCTACGGCTAGATCCAGATGATTCATCAGTTTACATTCTTCTGTCTAATGTATACGCTGAATCAGGGAAATGGGTTGATGTTTCAAGGACTAGAAGGCTAATGAGGCAGGGAAGGCTGAAAAAGGAACCTGGTTGTAGCTGGATTGAGGTGCAATCCGAGATGCATGGTTTCCTTGTGGGCGATAAGGTCCATCCCAGATCAAGGGAGGTGTATGAGATGTTGAATAATTTGATTTGTGAGATGAAACTCTCTGGATATGAGCCTGCATCAGCATTGTTTGCTGAGGTTGATGAAGAGGGGAGCACATCTGAGCAAGATGACTTGGTTGGAGTCGTTGGTGATTAATCTGTTTTGTATGAAGATGTCAATACCATTATGAAGCTTTGACCTTTTGTGTAAATTTGATAGATTACTCCAGCAGAGATAGTGATACTACATAGGGCACTGAGGCAGAAACTCGAAAATTTCTACATGGGTATGTCATGTAAGCATATTCATGTTGATCTTAGGATGCATGGAACTGATGTCTGTTGGCGTGAAAGCAAGTCATGACTATGTCAGCATTTTTGGCATTATGAGGACTGACTCTACAAAATACACTAGCAAAAAAAAAAAAAGGGCCAAACTGGCCACATCTTGTTTTATTATATAATCTGATAGATAAGGCAGTTATGGTTCTTTCTACCATTTGTACTGATTCTGGCTTGTATACACTGAGTAAAATTGGCAGAAGTGTAGATGCAATTCCCCATTTCCTTTCACATCATCAAAAAATTGCTGGTTTGATTAAAAATACTATTGGTTCTCTGATTAGGTCGAGCAAGCTTATTGATTGTTCAGTAAATTCAGTGTCTTTCAAACAGTACCTTTAGATGCTATACTATGTCTTTTGCCCAAATGTTTGTGAAAGGCGGTGCATTGTTCCTGACTTCCTGTGCTTGCCTGCCACCGCCCCTTGCATCTCAGGTCACTAATTTTGGGAGAATTTCATGATTAGTTTTTAATGCCGCATGTTGTTCTCTTCAAGAACAAAGGAAGAATTATATGCTTGTTTCCACTATTTGATAATGACCACCTGTTTGTCCATTCTCTGTAATTGTTAAGCATTAAGCTCATTCGGTTTTTACATATTTTCATTCAAACTTTCTAACTTCAGTGTATTTTCATTTATTTCTAGCAGTGAATGTTCAGCCTGCTTGTGATAATGATATTGTTATTGCTTTGCTTTTACTTATACATGTAATTTCGAACTTCAAGGTTTCTATATTCAGCTCCTCGTGTGCATGACTTCAAACTCATTTATTTACATTTTAGTGTTTAGTGTATGCTCCATCTGGTACTTGTTTAAGTCTAAAAAGGAACTAGGAAGTCCAGTCTGCATATTATAAACTTGAAGTCTGAAATCTGAATGTGTCCATGAACCTCAACATTCATATCCATTAATTTGTTCATGTGCAGGCAACTTTGAAGACAAGCAGGGTTGCATCCTGCAATGTCAGCTCCCAACAGTGATAGAAACATGCAGCAGCTAGTCCCTATAGCACCACCAGGAAAGGCTTATAATGGTGAAAGTGGAAAGGAGCTGGTTGTGGTGGATCCTGCAGGAAAGAGTTCAGGAAGTGTAAAACTGCGAGAGGATGAGGAGGACCTGGAGGTGAAAGCTCAGGCGCATCATGGAATGTCCCTGTGCGTGTCAGCAACACATCAGGGTCCTCTGCTGGCTCTGGCTCTGGTGATTTCCACCAGGTACTCTTCTTCTCTCCCTTCTTATGTGTGTAGATACAACAGTGGGGACTTTCCTTTAAGATCTGGGTTTGATGAAAAATTTCCCTGTTTCGTGTGGTATTTTCAGTTGCAGTAATCACCTCTTGCTTTATAACAGCTACATGCGATTTATTTGTCAATTAACATGTGAAAGGATGGATTATATTGCTAGGAATGGAAAATGTTAATAATTTATGGCCCCCTGAAAATTACCTGATTAAACTAATTAACCCTTTTGTTGCAAAATTCAGTGGTGTTAGAATTTCAGCTAATACTTTAGCATTAAAGACTTACAGTGGTTAGTTTATGCTATTGGGATGTTGAAAAATACTGATGCTGTGTTATTGAATTGACTTTAAAGTTTTGTAGTACAACTTTGTAATACTTTCTATGGTCTAGACTATAATTCGTTTAATACATATGGACATTGTCTACAATGTGACACTTTTACTAGCAGTTTCTAATGGTATGGTATTTCGAACAAAAAGAATTCAATAGTATGAAAAGTTGAACACACTTTCCTGATGGATATAGTAACATCGATCTTATGTTACTCATGTATGTGTGTTTTGTTTTGTACATTAATGGTCACATGTAAAAAAACTTAAACAACTTGCACTTCTGATTGGAATATATGCAAAAAAAAGACATTTGGCAGAGATACTTTGTAACTAGTGCTACTTAGCAAGACAGGAAAAACGGGGTTATTCATTCTGGCATTATTTTTCTGCTTTAGAACTGAGCCTAAAATTGCCGTTTGCTGCACTCATTAATCATTATGTAGTAGCCTTTTATTGTAGATTGAGCCCCTCTCTCTGCGCCGCGTTGGAACTTCTTTTAGATGCTGAATAATGTCATGGTCTTATTGGCATCTGCTTTTATGATCATATATGTATTTCCCCACCCCTAAGTTACATACCAGGATATGGGATTGGCAAATCATGGAACTTATGGCCATGTCATGCCCTTATGTATTCTAAATCATCTTGTTTATTGAATTTTGTAATATGATTCATATTCCAATTTAGCAAATCACAGATTAAGTGATTTGAGGCATGAGAGTTACTATGGAAATGATCTAATCTTTAAGCACACTTCCTTTTACAGTACCGGCAAATGAGGAGAGAGCAGGACCGGATAGCGCGAATGGATGCTGACTACCAGAAGAGAGAAGCGATGCCTGAGTTTGAACTGCGGAGGGAGGAGAGGCTGAAAGCAGCTGAGGAGCGGACAGCCAAGAAGCGCCTGAAACGGCAGAAGAAGAAGCAGCATAAGAAAGAGAAGCGAGCTAAAACTGGTAATAATGGTGGCGAAGAACCTAACAGAGTGGAGTCATCTGATGATGATAAAGGTTCGGATGACGATGACGAGTCTAAGCAATGACACGTTAATTACATTTGAAGATTTGAAGATGACTTCAGACTCTGGTTATCTGGGCAATGAACTAAAGCATCTATGCCTGTTGTAATTGGCCGAATCGGGTGCTGTCTATATGAGGATATGATATTTTGAGCAGAGATGGAGAGCACTAGATAATTTCATGTGTGTTCATCATTCAGAGAATTGGATCAGTAGCTTTTGTACAGCACTGTATGCTTCTATCAGCTGCCTTTTTTCGGATCCATGTTACCATGTGCTTCAACAGACAAAATGAAGTACCTAATGTCTTAAGCTAGTTTAATTGTGTCCTTTTCTTTTGTAGAAATATAGTTCGGTATTTGAAATCTCTCCTGTTGGATAAGTCATGTCTTCTGCCATTGGTCAAGAGAGGCTGCTTTCAAGCAACGTCCGTCTTCACCGCGCGCTACCCCGCCATGAAATTATGCATATGCTTATGTGACGACTTTTTCTATCGGCTGTTCAGTCAGTACATTATTCAGCAACTGTACGCTCAAGTTTGGTACAGGAAATCAACTTCGTTAATTGAATGGCTGTATCTCGAACAATTGTGGATATTTGGGGAAACAGCCCACTTCGTCTCGCCCCCGCGTCGCCCCTCCCACGTGGGCGACTTGGGTGGCCCGACCACAGCCGTCGCCCCCCTCCCCTCTCCTCCCCTCCCCTGCCGCGCCGCCGCCGAAGCAGGCCGCTGGCAAGGCTGTGCAGCTCGCTGGGATGGCGGCAGCAGACCACTCATCCCTCGCACCTTGGCAGAGCAGCGGCGCAGGCTGCAGCGGGTCGGCTGGGCGTGGCCTCGCCTGTGCCGCGTGGGGCTCGGGGGAGCCGCCTGGCCGCGGCTGCGGCAGCACCGGCCGGAGCCCAGGCAGGCGCTCGATGGTGGCGGCGGCGGGATCTCCTTCTTCCCCTCCGCCGTCCCCTTCCTCCTCGTATGGCAGCGCCGACGGCGACGTTCTGGGCTGCTCTTGGGCCTGGGCGGCTAGATCCGGTGCACTGGAAGCCGGATCCGGCGACCCATGGCTGGGGGCGCCGGCGCTAGCTTGGGGCACCGGGTTCTCTGCCCTAGCGGCTGGATCCGGGCCCTTTGGGCTGGGGGCGGCGCCCACCGTGGTGGGGCACTCGCGACCGGCAGCGGCCGGCGGTGACCGGCAACATCGGCTCCGGGTGCCAGAGCCGGCGACGTCGTTCAGCAACGGGCTTCGGTGTGCGTCAGGGTAAGCCCGATCCCGTGTTGCCCAGCCAGAGGGGGTGGCGGCCGACGCAGCTATGCGGCTGCTGCGTGCAGCCGGCGCGTCGATGCCTCTATGGAAGAGTTTCGTTGGGATGGGGGGCTGAGACGACGGTGGCGATAACAGGATAGGGTCCGGGTCTTGGTCGGACGTTTGTGCTGGGGAACCCTTTGGGCGAAAGCCTTGACGACGGTGATGTCTGTGGGCGCCGCATCCCCTGCTGAGGGCGTCGTGTTCCCCAGCACTGCCTTCCACGGGTGAAAACCCGGTCCATCTTGGACGAGCGACGGTAGCGTTCTCGACGTCATGCCCTTCTTGAAGGCGTCGCTGATTGGATCTCATCTCAACCACGTTGCCTTCGGTTGATGCTCTTAACTTCTCGGCGCTCGGTCTACGTGTGGAGGGAGGACTTACAGCGTGAAGTCGGAACTGCTGCGTCAAGGGATGTGGCTCGGCAACGATGAGATGAGGCGAACCACCCCCTCTTTCGTCTACTGGGAGGCTTTGAAGGTGTGGCAAATGCCGGGGGCGGGGCGGAGGGTCAAGATAGGAAGTCGGAGCTGCTCTTTGTTTTGAGCTTGACAACGATGACCTGTTGCGACCTCTCGCTTTGGGCCATCTTTTTTTCTTCATTAGGTTCGTCCGTGTCTGCCTTGGGAAGTCGGAGCTGCTGGTTGCTTTGTAACCACGCTCGGCAACGATGACTCATGACAGTTTTGTTTCCCTTCCGCGTCGCGTGGGTGGGTCAGCCATTCGTGTGGCGTGTGTTGGCACCACGTTTGGCTATCCTTCTTGTACATAATTTTCTTTCGTCTTAATTGAGCGACAGAGCTCCCGCCTTTGTTTAAAAAAAATGTGGATATTTGGCAATAAAACAACTATTTGTTAATGCAACTAGCTAATCCATCTGAATTTATAGCTGAGCTGTAAGTACTGACGCCTATTAAGGGCTCGTTCGGTTGGGGCATTAGGACCCAGAATTAATCCGGCCAGTGAAAGCTTCTATGAATTGAGTAAAGATACCGGCCTGGAATTCTTCCTGAGCTCATTTCCGGTCAAACGAACGGGGGTGAAGACACTGAAGAAAACCATCCACGACAGGTGAAACACCTTCTGAATTTTCTCGTCTGTCCAATATCGCAGGCATCGACACGAAGGCAGAAGGATCCACATCGAGTGTGAAAGAAGGTGAAACCCCTTCTGAATTTTCTCGTCTGTCCAATATCGCAGCTGATCGATTCGCTGATCTCCACTATTGTGACTGATTTGCAGGTGAAACAAAAGCTTGAATTCAAACGAAGAGATCACTAGTTTTGCCGCTACTCGATTGAAGATTACACGTTTTTTGAGAAAACGACGTTTCCCACTGTTACCTGCTTGTACTGCTTTCAGTAGAAATACCAAAAAAAAAACATTTCTCAGTTTTTTTTTCCGAGAGGAAACATTGCTCAGTTAGTTGAAATGAGAATGACACTAACACAAGGGATGCACACAGCACACGGCACACGGGCCGCATCGGTGCGGCGGTAGGGACCTCATGACCGACGGCTGACGCGAGGATGGTTAGGTCTCAGGATCCGGCCCACGGGCCACGGAGGGTTGTTGGGCCATGGGCCTGGTACCGTGGAGCACGGGACATGGGCTGGCGTCGATCGTTACGAGGGCCCACTGCTGCATGTGTATTGAAATAAGGAATAAATCATTTAACCTCTCCAGTGGCTTTAGTTAATGTGGCGCGTTTGCTCAAAAAAAAAAAGTTAATGTGGCACCACGTTAGCCATGATGCATGGAGGTAGGTCAGACGACTATGATAGTTTAGTTTGGGAGGCCAAATATACTTTATTAAATGATTATAAAACAAAGCGTTCTTTTTGAAGAAGTTATGTCATTTAAAATGTCAAAAAAAATATGTGGCTAAACGATACTTATCTTGTCATGGAAATCACTTGAACTCCTAATTGGTCTATGTCGTCAACGCGGACTAACTATAATAGATGATAAGGACATCTAGTCTATATCTATAGACTAATACTAAAAAGGCAAAATTTCAGCCTAAATTTTCGTCTGGCCCCAGTCCTTTCACGGACGGTCTTCTAATCCACTCCGTTCCCTACTGCTGAGTTCACGGTGATACCCATAGTTTACTTAAAGCCTCCGTCCCCACGTATAGCTGGTCCGTGATGATTCCCATATACAAAATCCAAAAACGTATTATCCAAAAGGAGACGGATTCCCATATACGAAATCCAAAAGGACTCGGGAGCCTAGACCTCTGCGTTATAGTTCCTGTTAAATCTAACAGATTAGGGGCCCGTTCTCGGTCGAAATAGTATTTTTCTCTTATAACAATTTAGCTAGAACAGTATTTTTCAATCAGTTTTAGTCAAGTTTCAGCAAGTCGAACAGACCCTAGACATCGCCAAAATCAAAGACACGACAGATTAGATAAGGAGCAAAAGGACCGAATCCAGCCCACCACGAATAAGATCAAGAGGAAATCAAAAGAGCGCAATGAGTTGAATCGAGGCCACCACAGAACAAATCACGTCTGCCAGGCAGAAACCGCAGGCTCCTCCGGTCAACTACCTAGCAAAGGCAAAACAAATACACACAATGGAATCTAACAGCCTGTTCGGTTGGCTGGTTCGTATCGTTGCTGGTTCGTTTATGTGAGAGAGAAGTATTGCCGGCTGGTTCATGTGAATAGTATCCATGTGAGGGGCTGGCCAGCCAGCCCAAGCCGATCGGGCTGTAAGATCCGTGCATCTGATTGAGATGTTTGTGCTTATATAAATTATAATAAACAAGAACATGGACCAATAATAACTTGGAAGGCTGCAGAAGCTGAGAGAGAATCCAAGATAAAGTCTCCATACTGAAGAAGCAAAATAAAAAATACAGGAAAGCACCAGAACAAAAGTACATCATATATGATCGAATTAAAGCATGGAATGGACATCAAGTCTCCATTCTCATGAGTCACGATAGACTGATTCGGTTGGCTTCGTTGGCAGCCACTCGGAGGCGTCATCTTCGGCATTACCGTCCACGTCGCACGGGGTTCTCTCTGTCTTTCTTTGCTGGCGAGTGGAACTGTGGAGGGCGGCGAAGAGAGGGGCGGAGTCGACGGGTGGACTGGAGAGGGCCAGTCGACGGACCGGGGGCGGGGGCGGGGGTATATCTGGCCATACAGCCCGAGCCCGTCGGCCCGGCCTAAGGCCCGTTTTTTTTGCCCGGCCCAAGCACGGCCCGACACGGAGGCTAGCGGGCTCGGGCTGGCCCGGCCCGGAGCAGCAGGCCGTGCCTGGGCCTTACCCCAGGCACGTGGGCCGGCACGACACGGCCTGCTACAGAGCGCACGGCTCGGTGACGGCCTGCTAAGCCCCGGGTGTTAGTGCCGGCCTGCTGCCCTGCTCCCGTAGCCGGCGAGCGGAGGAGGCCGTGCGCCCGTGCGCCCTTCCAATCCCCCAGCGGCCAGCGCATCCCCCTGAACCCTAACACCCTTCCCATCCCCCGCGCATCCCCCTCCCGGCCTCCCCAGTCCCCACGCCGCAAAGCTCACTCCTCCTCTCCTCTCACCTCTGCGATTTGCGACGTGCCCAACTCCTCTCCCTTGCTCCCTCTCTTCGTTCGCCGGCCAGGTGTGGGCGAGTGGCAGCCGACACCGCGTGCTCCATCCCCGGCCACGCCGCCGCCTCCACCTCCACTCCACTCCGCCTCCCCCATCCCCATGCCGCCGCCTCTAGAGCTCCACCA